GTGTGGAGGAGGGATGTGCTGTGCAGTGAGTTTGTGGATTCGCAGCCTGCGTATGTGTACGCCCATGGGACAGGAAGGAGAGGACTGTCATCCTCTGAGCCACAAGGTGAGAGTTTCTATAACAGCCTGACTGCTGGTGTCAGTGATCATGCAGGAGGGCATGAGAAAGAGGCGGCAGAAATTCACACAGGAGGCCGTAAAAGCAACGCCTCTGCCTCTGTTTTCCAACCATCCATTATGGCTGACGAACCTGTAACCAGCACCTCATAATTCTCTCCCTCTAGGTTCCCTTCTTTGGCAAAAGGCTTCATCATACCTGCCCCTGTTTGCCGAACCTGTCATGTATTACCATCATGGAAGGCAAATCCAAATGTCTCTCCCCCTACAAGTATCCTGACTTCTACCTCTGAGGACCTGCATTTGCACTGTAAATATTTTATCTGCCTTTAAAAGCCTTTTTTATTTGGAATAAAGAGATATATTTAACAACGCGTCACCCTATTGGCTCAAATTAAACCATCCATTTAAAGGAAAACCCTCTTGTCCTTTTGGATCTTACATATAAATACATTTTGACATTTCACTTTGTGATAAACCAAAAATAATACAAGTATAAATTCAGGGATTCATTTCTTTGATTAGTTTATTTTTATTTAACATTATTGTCTATGAATAAAATGCCCAAAGGGACACGCCAGCAATGTTAAGACTCATACTTAAACATCGTTTAAGTTCTTGGTGAGCTTGCAGCTGCCCTGCAAGCATGAGAAGAAACACGTGTTATTGCAGCAGTAATGAAATGACATGCCTGCTGAGTGATGCTCACTGTGTGTTACAGTTTCATTATCCAGTCATAACTGAAACATAGAAATGACTTGGTTTTTTTCATGCTTAATCACTTTTCCAACCACAAAATACCAAAACAAGAACCGTGGAGAACATTTTAATTGCTGCTAAAATACAAAGGTGCTTTTTTAAAATTCACACTCACCACAACAGCAGGGGTTACACCACCAGGAAACACAGAGACTGCTATGAAATTAATCACTGTCAGGCTGTGATTGTGTGTTTCTTCAAGGCTTAAGGCTAAAATTAGATTCGCCCAGTGTGTAAAGCAGTGACTCATATCTCCCATTTTTATAACAGATATTGGTCTTCTGTGGCTGTGGAGATCATTCAACCAGCTTGAAGTGCTCTCTTAGCTGCGCAACAACTTCAAAATATGACTTGACTGTCTAAAGCTTAAAAAAAATTAAAATCAGGGCTTCCAGGAAGTTTACATGTCAAACATTACCAGGTTCTTGCCTCTTAAATGTGTTGGCTGCATTTCTGTGACTTGCAGTATATCAAAATTATCATCTACAGTTCTGAGGCAGCTGAGCTAACCAAGTCCAGTGATGATGACCAATGAGGGAGTGAAAAAGTAAGTATGGAAGTAAGAAAAAACAATAATCACTAGAAGACTTAAAGGGAACTACACCAATTTTACACATAAAAGTGAAAAAAGGTAGCAAGTGAAATCATGGTGTTACCTGAGCCAGCCCTAGGTGAAGCTGAAGTTGAAACTCTGAAATTGAAATTGAAAGATGTTCAAAGGTGGTGACCATACTCAGCCCTCCCTGTTAGCAGTAGCATCTGAATTGTGGGTAATGTAGTCACCAGGTGTTTAACAAGAAGGAGAAACAAGCTAAATCAATGAGGTGCTACAAGAATACTGATCGAATACTTGAATACTCAGTTGAGCGTACCATTTTGAAACAGCTATACCTCCATCTGTCCAAATAGTGTTTTTGTAAAACCCATTAAGGATGACAGAGGTCACTGTGGTTTGCTTAGGGGTTGGCTAGAATGAGAAGGTCACTAGCAAAGCCAGTAGGAAAATCCAGGTAGCAGGAATCATAATTCCCCAGCTTCACAATGCAGCCTGCGTGCCCTGAAGACAACATCGTGTACCTAAAAATACCCACCCTGTATCTGCATCGCATGAGAGCACGTGCAGGTGAGGATCTTCCTGCAGCTGTGCAGCCACAGAAACGATGCTGTGAGACCTCTGCACGCTGTCAGCAGAGCAGAGCCAGCTGTCCTGAACAGTCATGCATGATGTGATGTTAATGGTTATAGATGCACTGAAGGCAGACAGTGTGTCGTGGAACCTGGTATACTTCTTTTGATAGAACGAAAAGGACTTAGGTTCAGAAAAACCTTCATAAATCAAAGAGTGTGTCTTTATTATTATTATTATTATTATTCATCAAGGCCAATGCCAATTAGCACAACAGCTATTACTGAATCAATCAGGGGCTTGATTGAGTTTGATTAAAACACGGTTGGAAACTGTTTAACTGTTTAATGAGCAGTTAGTTGACACCGAGTCTGTCAAGACTTTTTTAAAGGTTTAAATCAAACCTCTGGCCTTTAAACGAAACAGCTACGAGCAGTTTGTCATGTATACATGGTAACAATTTGCTGACACACTGACATTGTGACGTGAAACTGACGTGAGGTATTCCCACCGGCTGTAATTAGCTCGACGGGAGATTTCTTCAATGATAGGCAAATTGGTGGTAAATGTCAGGGTCGGTGTCAGACTGTCAGAATCAAAGAGCAAAGGTGTCTCTTTATATTCTCCATTTAAACCTGATGTTCACCCGTGCAGAGAGAAGGGAGGTGGGGGGTGTGGTTGTTATGCTGTCGTCTGCAGATGTGTGTGGAAGGAGGCATGCATGCCCTCAGATCTGAGTTATAAAACTCAGTGTAATGTCTGTTGTGAAGATTTTACCTCAAATCACAAGCAAAGGCTACAAATTTAGATCAATTTACAGCTTAGAAAGCTAACTAACAGTTTCAACTCATAATTAAAGCACATTAACATTTATTTCTCACATATGCTAATCTTTATACATCCACAGATTTATTTATTTCTCGTTTCTTGTTGTTTCTTGTACGCATTCAAAAATGCACACAGGGACAGAGTTACAATTTTGCAACTCTCCACACACATTTACAGACATTCCTGGAGATTTGAAGGGATCAAAAGACACAAGTTTATGTCTTCTCAACACCCCACTAGCCTTATTTTTTTTAGTTTAATACTAGATAACATTAAAGAGATTTCATCAGAGATTCCAGTTGTAAACAGCTGTTTCACAGGCAACAAATTCAATTCAAATAGAGAGAAGCATTAAAGAGCGTTTTAAAATGGTAAAAGAATAAAGTATGAAGTGAGTCTTACTGGCAGCCTCCTTCATGGTGTTAAAGCAGTTATATCCAATTGTTATACATAAGTCCAGTGTTGAATTTGGGTTGAGACAGAATAAAGCAAATGTGGTCTTAAATAAGTGGACATTTGGGCAGTGGAGGGATTGTCTAATAGCACTTTCACTCTGAAAATGTGTCCTACAAAACATCTCACTCTCTGTTGCTTGTAAGAACTCTCTCCGCATGAAGGTGCAATACCAAGTTGCTCACATGCCCCTTTATGAAACCTTAAAGATCAGAAAGAATTCACAGGGTCATGCATTCACTCAATTAGCAACCAGTTTGCCAAAATATACTACAAATAGTTTTATTCAGCTGGGATATTCTTCCTTTTAAAACCTGTAGCTGATTGCAGCAAGTTCACACCCATCATCGGGGCTGTCAGCAGCTATAAATGTATAAACACCAATATGAACACTCAAATTAGCATGCCAATAAAAGTAGTTTACATAAACTTAATTGGAACAAACATGTACTGTTATACTAAACAGTGGGTCTGGTATGTGAGGGCTGATTTCTCTCTTAGGGAACGGCTTACCTTCAAGCCATTCAAGAATGGAGTGATACCGTTAAATGCAGATGACTGAGTCAAACAACTTATCATCCATTTCTTATTTATTTGCTAAGAAATACAAAGAATGAAACTGTCCTTTTCAAAGCACCAAATTGTTCACATTTCTTCTCAGTGTTCCATCCATAGAAAACGAATGCCGCTTGTAATGTACTGTATGTTCTTTGGGGGAATGTAAATCGACCTGCTCAACACAGGAGATGATGGAGAAGAAGAATTTGCGAAATGCTTATAAAGTGAGTTCAAACACCTCGTTCAACACAAAGAGTTCTGAGAGATTATGAACTATACAAGGATATATGGGTGTAAAAAAAAAAGCTCGAGGAAGGGGTTAGCAGGGCTTTACAGTATTTACAAATGTGATATTGCCTTCATTAAAAACATACTGCGATCTGTATCTTAGCTTTAGCATTTAAATGACTGATAAGTAAAGATGATACAGATGTTGGATGGGGGGTGGGGGTCTGATCAAGTGTAGTTCTGCGTTGCTTTTTGTAGTTTTCCAGTGGGCCACAACATCAAATTGATTTGTTGGGATAATATTTCAATTTTTTTTAATATCCAAAGAAAATAGGCAAAATGACATTCGTGTAAAATATGGAGATATGGAAAAAGGTCATTCATCAAAGGTAGGATTTAACAGGGCACATGTAAGTTGCATGTGCTACATCTTACCTCTGGAGTGAATAACACCTAAATACATGCAGAGGATAAAAATGAAGAGTGGTTTCCCCATGATACCCAGCTAGAGAGGCAAAAAACCCTCCAATACACTGCAGCCTATTTCTTTTTAATTAAATCATTACATATTATGCTTCATGTGAGTTAAATCAGTCCAGAAAGCAAAATATAGCAGGAATTTACACCATCAGTAAAGTTCTGTCAGATTAAAATGGTGTGTAAACCCTTTGCCACTGATAGAAATGTGGGTAAACTATTCCATATACATTCTGAAATCCTACACAAACGTGTCTTTGGCAGTATTTGAGGGTCCCGCTGCGGTTCAGATGACACAGTACGGCTCCATGGGTGTCTGCGTTCCCAGGCAACAGGGGAAACACGCTCGGAGCCTCATCCGGAGCTCCTTGTTGAACAGAAAGCTGATGATGGGGTTCGCTCCCGCCTGGGCGAAGCTCATCCACACAGCAGCCGTCAGGTAAAGCTGCGGGACCGGGGCCCCTCGCACAAATATCCTCAGGTAACAGGCGCTTATGTAAGGCGCCCACAAAATGAGGAAGGTCAGCGTAATCATGTAGTACATCTTCCCGATGCGCTTCTCCATCTTAAACTCATCCAGCACCAGCAGTCTCCTGTTGCCGGGGTGCGAAGCCTGTCTGATCCCCACCAGCGTCGGGGGGGTCGGTCCGCGGCCGAAGCCGGCGATCCAGTTGGCGGCGGCTTGCCCGGTGGCCCCGGGGCCGTGGAAAGTCCAGTTCTGGCTGATAGCTGGCACCAGCTGAGCCGGCTTCATCTTGCGGTGGTCGTAAACGAAGCACAACATCTTTATGTAAACCACATGAGTCGTCCCCACGATGACGGCCAGCATCAGCATGAAGCCCAGGGTGTCGTTCGCCTTCACGTAGCGGTGCTCGAAGATGCACTGCTCCTCCTCACTGATAAACTTGTAGGTGCCCACGTCGAAAACCGGAGGAAAAGCCATCGCCACGGAGAGAGTCCACACCATGCAGATCACCGCCACACACGTACACAGATTCATCCGCTTCGAGTAGAACCTGTGGTGGGCGATCGCCATGTACCGGGTGACACTGACGCAGAAGAGCAGGAAGGCGACGTGGAAGCAGAAAAGCACCGACATGAAGGCGACGATCTTGCAGCTCAGGGGGCTGTACGGCCAGGCGGAGCCGCCGCCGATCGATGCCATCACGAAGGGGAAGCAGACGGCAGAGCGCACCACGTCCGCCAGGCACAGATCCAGCAGGAAATAGTAGGGCGCCTTATGCAGCGAGCTGTCCTTCAGCAGCAGCAGCGACAGCGACGCGTTGCCCAGCAGGCTGATGCCCATGATCAGACCCAGCGAGGCCAGCTTGACCGCAGAGGCCGTGGACGCATAGTTCTGTAAGGACGGGCTGCTCTCTCCTAACTCGCTTGTGTTTGCCATCTATGCAGCCCAGGTAGCGCGTATTCCCACATCAATTCACCGACGAGCAGCAGCGGTATCCTTTCCCCCCCTCTCTCTTCCAGGTCTGAATTTAGAACAAAATCAACACGATCCGCCGCCCTCTTCAGCTGAAAACTACTCAGGAATAAATCCCATCTGGATGCGCATTAATCCCCATCATAAACAAAACAGAAGCAAACAAAACAAACAAAAAGAAAAATCATTTCACGTCTCTTTTTTTCTTCTTATCCTTCATCTCAAAGCGCGTCAGAAGCAGCCCTCTCCATGCTTCTGATCTCTGCTGGACAGAGGCGACCAGGGTTAGCTTCAGACACCATTTCGGAGAGCATCCGTTCAGACGAGCGGCTCAGAGAACACATCTCAATTTTCACCGATGGCGGAGGTCTCCCGTTCCCGTCTTGAGGAATTAAAAAAAGCAGCTGTGCGGCAGCATGGCGCAACACTTACGTATCCACAGCCTCGTCAAAAGGACGCCGAATTATAGCTGTCACACGGAGACTGCAAATAGCACACAGCTGAGCTGAGGTCGAAGCTCACCGAGGTGGAAGCGTCAGTAGGCTACGGGTCTGTGTCGGTGTGTGCAGCGTCTAGTCTATGCGACGCACGTCCGCCTGCATGTAGTGAGCAGGCCTGGGATCAGTCAGGAGTCTCAGCTCCTGCCAGCTATAGGTAGCATGTGTCTGCGCGCTCACGAGATGCAAATGCTTTGAGACAGATCGCCTTTATGACATTATGCAATGTTTTATATTTAGGATGTGAAGAAAAAAATAACTTTGATCCTACATCTGCACTTGGAGATAAAAAAAAAAAAAAGAAGATTATGTTTTACTGCCTGTTATATAATGATTATTATTGAGATCAAGAAATTGCACAGGGGTCAAGAGGTCCACAAGCACACTTGAATGGTCTGTAAAGTCAGTATGTAGGCTACTCATGCACAGGCCATAATGTAACGTTTCTTTGTGGCCATCTCTCTCACGTAAAACCATTTTTAAAATGTATGAAACACAGTAGCCTACACAGTCTATATTGTAACTTTTATTCAACTTTTTGCACTAAAAAGTTCATTAAGTTCATTTAAATGATCATTTCTGCTGTGCTAATCAATCCTGTTTTCATAGCATGGATGTAAACATGTACAATGGATGTTTATTTCAGCCATGCAAATGCAAAGAATGTCTGTAATTTATATCAGTGCATTTAACCATTTATCCTGGTTTTGATGGTCAGGGAAGTATATTATTTGTACCATTTGCTGCTGTTACCATAAGTTACTATTTGCACATATATTCAGGAGTATGGTTGTAAAACGTTTTTCATTTTATATTTTGTTACATGAATGTTTTAAAGTATGAAACACTTTTGCTTATACTTTCTTTTGTACCCACCTGACTGGAGCGTGGAAATATTACACTGCAACGCACCAACTAAGTGTCCTTTAGTCAAATTATAGATTGACAGGAATGATTATTGCTCTGTGGAGTGTGGAGCTGTCTGTTTAAGTGCCTGCAACCAACTAAAATCAGTTACGTTACTGTTTTACTTTAAAGCTTCAGTTATTAATGCTGTGACTATTATTTCTATCGTGCTGTGTTTCGATTTTTATTCTAGTGGATGTCTAATGTGGGTGCCAGTGTGCCTGTGTCCCCAGACATGGTAAAGCATTATAAGGTTGAGACTCTTATAGTAACTAATGGCTTCCTGTCATTGCCTGTGTTCAGGGTTATCATTAAAACCAGTGAAACCAGTGCTCCTGTAATTGTGCAATGTATGGGGCACAAAAATTTAGCAAAAACTGATAATATATTCATATATAATATAATGATTTGTATAATATTAACTTGGTGTTCCATTCATTAGGACATTTTGTGATTTATTTACTTTATGTTACTTGCCAGACATTTGCTTTTAAATTAAAGCTCTTTTACCTTGCTATGCTAAATTAACCGTTCAACCTAATCTGCACATTTAAAACAAGTTAGTTTAACGAGCCAAGTATCACATTAAATAAGATTTCTATTTTTGTATTTTTTGCATCCTTCAAACAAATGTCATTTATTGCTTTTATAAATGACATTGACTTTAAATTGGTTGTATAGTAATGTTTTTAAAGAAATGAAAATGACTGTTTTAAATTCTGATGTGGGTTTCCCCGAAGTTGACACACATGCCACAAGTTAGAATGGCAAGTTCACTTACACTCAGTCTGATGAAGTTGGTGCATTTTAAAGCATTTCTAAAGGATGTGGTGGGGGGCGTTTTATCCTGGAAAATCCTGTTGTTGCAACAGCACCATCTGGTGATCCTTCATGAAAAAGAAAGGCCAGCACAGGCCTACCGAATGGAACATTTAGGAGGGCCATACTAAAATACGGGATAGTCAAATCCATCTCAGCAGGGGTTGTGTATTTTTAATTAAAGCTAACATGTGACTAGACTGCACCTGCTGCTCATGCTGCAGTGATTTTCCAGCATGCCTTGCAACCAAGGCAAACCTTGGCGAAGGCGGTCGCACTTTTCTCCTCTCCTCCTTTCCCTTATCTTCCCTGCTTAGCCTCTTGTGTCCTTGTCCTGTCTCCTGTGTATTACTTTCACTGGAACAGTCTCTCACTTTCGTTCTCCCAGATAACGACTGTGTGTTGACTATTCTTCCCATTCCATGCAAGGCCACCTGAGTTGGCTGGCAGACTGTTTACTTAGCCTGATAGGGCGGAGGACACTGTCTCAGCTGAACTCTGGACACGCACACACATACACATACACTGATACGCACTCACTCATCCCCCTCCCTTTCCAAACGCCTTAGATGCTTGTTTCCTGTGGGGGAAGACGGCGGGTCTATGTGCCGCGCTGGAATGGTAGCGCTGTGCAGGATGACTGCTGTGTTTCCTTCGGATTACTCCTCACCCCGTACCCAACCTTGTGGCTTGTCACGTGCTCCAATGTTGTACCGTGGACATTTATGTGTTCTCTTTGCAGAGGAGTTTTTTTGTTTCCTGTTCTCATGCTGTCCTCTCATAGGTGCCCAGCATGAGTAGAGGTCTCCTTTTCCTCTTCTACTTTCCCATTGTTGTGTACTTTTTCAGCGTTTTTCTGTAACGCTGCCAATCTCCGACCTGTATTCCCATGTGATGTCTATGTTGTGTAAGTCAGGGGCGGGGGGGGGTTCTATTCCACTGTTGTGTACTTTTTCAGCATTTTTCTGTAACGCTGCCAATCTCCGACCTGTATTCCCATGTGATGTCTATGTTGTGTAAGTCAGGGGCGGGGGGGGGTTCTATTCCACTGCGGGGCAACCTGCATGTGGCCAATAAAGCCTTTCATTCATTCAACCAACCGGCTTGCATGCTGAGTTCAATGAGCATAAGAGCTCCAGCTTTTAAGCCCTCAAAGCTATTGTAAAGACAAATATTTGGTTTGTTAGGGGATTCATGCATTCAAGTCCAAAGGAATAATTAAAGAGGGATGTTCAGGCAAGCAATACAAATATTATAAATCCCATAAAAACCCCTGGAACACCCACATGGTTCCATCTCAATCGAATAAAGATACAATAAAGGTGGTACATTTTTGAATTTTGATTAGATGTTATACGATCATACAGATTGTAAAACAGTGAGAAAGTGCTAAGTTCATATTTGTAGAAGTAATTTTGTCCCTAAAACTGTTATATTTGGTTGTTAGATTTGAGCTGTCCAGGTTTAGCACTGGTTTGCTATGGTGGAAAGTTTAAACTTAGTGATCTAGTGGCTGCTCAGCCGAGATCTGCTGAGTAAATGCCCAAAGTGGAAATAATATAAAACCTTGGCAAAACAAAACAGCCTGTAATTATATATACATCTGTCTTGACCTCATTTAAGTCTTTCCGCTGACATTTCTGAACTTGAATATTTCCCTAACCAAAGTGTCCTAAAAACAGGCAACAAGAGGTTTTGGACCAAAGATAGTGAAATAAAAAGATGCCTTACTTACTAAAAATATAGAACAGATTTCGTGGAATTATTGTTTCCTGTTCTAGTAGACACCCTTCATCAGTACTTGGTGCAACAATCCAATGTTTGTTATAAATAGATCCACTGCTCTGCACAATAAGCCTTTTAGACAGATTTTTTTTTTCCTACTCTTGGCTCTGTATGATACCAATGAGTAGTGAAGTCCTTAATATATCTCAAGCACACAGTTTTGACTGTGAGCACTGAAGCCAGATTCAAATGTTCTGTTTGTGAGGGGCAGCCAATCAGAAAAAGAGTTGGCTCAAGGAGAGGGCTGGGTTATAAATGAGTGGAAAGGTTTGTTTTTGATGAAGTGAGAAGCTGTATTTTGGAATGTGAATCATGCAAAGCTATTGTAGAAAAATCCAACAACAAAACTATGGAACTGGAAATGAGCATTAGTTGTGTGCAAATTTTGGTATTGAGCCGACACCAAGTACATACAGCGCCAGTATTGTTGATACCAATACTGATACTTTTAACCTATGAATGCAGCTTATGTAGGGAAGAGCAGATTATGATTTATGAGACAAATCATCATCAATTTGCACATTCTTAACATATTTTAATAACCACTAAATCATTGTGTTTATGTCTTTCTACAATAATTAGCTAATTTATAAAAATAAATATAGGTTTTGTTTTTAAACTGTTTTTTGGAGACCTAGAATGTAAATGTGCCTGTCTCTGAAGCACTTCTGTTGCTTAAATGTGCCGTAGGCTATAAATAAAATCGACGTGACAGTCAACACAGGTTCAGAAATTTTTCATAGTAGGCTACAGCACATGCCACATGATGTGACGTTGCAAGGCTAGCATAAAAACACCTTTAGAGAATAGAAACAAAGTATCAATTATATCGATCCGATACCAATCTGATACTAATACCAGAAAATCTTACATGGTGGAGGAGGAGAGGGGCAAGAGAACCAATCAGTTTTTACAAGGGGGGGGAGGGAGAGACTCCGGGCCTCAAGGGCCAGTGTCCTGCAGGTTGTAGATGTGTCCTTGGTCTAGCACAGCTGATTTAAATGGCCAAATTGCCTCCTCAACATGTCTTGAAGTTCTCCAGGGGCCTGGTAATGAACTAATCATCCGGTGTGTTGACCCAGGGTGACCCCCCCCCTCTATTCTATTCTATTCTATTCTATCCTGCACTACAGCAAGGAGGCAGTAGCCCCCCGCCCCCTGTAGATCCGCCCCTGAATGCCAGCGTTGGTATCTATACTATCGGTATTTGATTGATCAACCCACTTCAAATGACCATAACAGGTAGGTTTAATACATGTACTGAGCATAGCCATGTCCCCTGTAGACACAAATTGAAATTGTCCCTGTTCTACAATTATCGCAAAAATATATTTTTGCCCCCTGTGATGCAAACTAATATTAAATTATTGATATGTCCCTTGTACTTCCGTGAACGCTATTTAGATATTTGGGCCACCCGAAAATGATGCCGAGTGAGCTCTCATCCTTTTTCCCTCATCTCCTGGGTGGACCAACGGCGACGTTTCTGCCCAGTGACGCAGAGACGTCAGCAGTCGGTGGGCGGAAAAGCGGTAGTGTGTTTCTGTAAGTGCAGATAAAGGCGAACCGGGTGTTTTTATCAAGTCCTTTCATACAGGGATAACGTACGACTTTAGTTCCGAGCCCGGTGAAATGGCGGTTCCTGCGGGTCAGACGGACGTCCAGATGGACCGCGGCGCCCTGAGCGGCCAGACGGTTTCCTCCGAAAACAACATAGACATCGACGAGAAAGAGTTGGAAAACATCACAAAGAAACACCGAGAAGAAGACACGGCGACGCTGCCTCTGCACTCGCCTTGGACGTTTTGGCTGGACAGGTAGTGATATTACTGCGTCTTCTTCCGCGTTGTCTTTGAGCTTTGAGCCCGGCACGAGCACAAAGAAAGAAAGAAAAGAGAAAAAAGATGAAGAGGGGTGGTGGGGAGAGGGGTATCATTGTAAGGCCACAGCTTTCCCGGAGGCCTCCCGCAGCAAAATATAGCGGGAGAAGTGTTCGCATCTAACGCGACCTTGTTGTGTTCCCGGGTCCTGACAGTCACTCACAGTCCACAGGACAAGTTCGCCTTGACAGGTTTTAGCCATTCAGACGTGCAGCAGAAGTTACTTTGATTAGCTTCTCTCAGCAGGGGGGAGCGCAGAAGGGAGGGTTTGGGGTGAAACTGATAGTTGTTGCACTTTTCTTTAAAACCTCGACGCCTTTAAAGAGCCCAGGCTCATCTCTCGTTGTTTTCACAAACGGCTAAGTGCAGCTAATCTTTTATTGCAAGGCTTTGCTACATAGGAACCCTTGCTCGGTGCAGTTTCGTCCTAAGCCGTCAATAAATGCAGCCCTAAACATCGCATGGCTTCTTTTTTATGAGGTCATGGGAATATCCCATGTTTATCATGGATACTCTGCTGGTTATTGTTGATTTATTTATTTATTTTAATAATAACACTTTTAACGTACGTATTTGCTGGCAGGAGTTTTATATAAAAGAATGAGGTCTGAAAAACACCCAGATTATCGAAACAATACACACATACAATAGTATGTAAAATATGTAAAATAAACGTTTGTATGTTATCAACGTATATATTGGACTTTATGCGCATATTAATAGGGTCTCTTTTATAGTATTTTGGTTTTTCATTTATCCTTTTTTATGTTCTTTTTCTAACAAAGCTCTGTAACATGTTACTCAGTCTTTGTTTGTCTATAAAGTTAAGCAAGTGAAACTTATTCAGCAGTACTTTATAATAACAGCGGCTGCATCAAGCATATCTGGTGTCAGCTTTTTAAATATTACCATTATTTCCCTGTTAAACGTACTGTATTGTTTTTGGTGTGACATTAAGTCGTTTCATGTGTTCCTGCAGGTCACTGCCCGGCACCACAGCAGCAGAATGTGAGTCCAACTTGAAGAAGATCTACACAGTGCAAACTGTTCAGGTGAGATCTGGCGCCAGCTTAAAGAGTTTTTTCATCTTAGGAGCAAAGAGATCAAGTGCGTGACTTGGCTAAGAGTCAGAGCCATTTGAGAAGAGTTTCTGTGATGTAAGGGAGCGAGCAGGTTAGAGCCACGGTGGGTGCAAAACATTAGAAGTGCAGTGCAAAGTTAACTGACAGCTTTTATGAAGTGCATTTCAGCCGTCTGTGTTATACTAAAGTTTTTTTTTTCTTTTTACTTGTATGTGCAAACCTATCGTTTATTAATATCACTAATGTGACTGACGGTAGCTACTGCTCATGTTCGTGTTGGTTACAGTGCTTTGATATGATGCTCTGAAGGCTTCTTTTGTAAATGAAGAGAAGACGCTGTGTTATTTTTATCAGGAATATCAGCGTGCAACGTGCTGTTAAACTTATTGTATGAGGCTTATTGATGATTTACACTTTAGTAAAGAATCTATGCCTTAAGTCATAACTGCAAACCCATCTGAAACCCTACAGCATAACCTGACATGTACCTCCTTATAGAAGATACACATCAACGCAGCCCACAAGCCACTGTTGGCCTGATCAAGGCTGTGGGTTGCCTTTTTAAATTTCTGGCAACTTTTTTGCTGTTTTGTTTTGTTTTTCAGTAAGAGAAGTAACAGTCATTGTCTTAGTATAAAGAATAATAATCATAGTGTCAATATAAGCACTCATAAATGTCTGCAAATTTCCGGAGGGAGGCTGCTGAGACCATCGGAATGGGGCAGCTTGTGTAGATGACATCGAAGGCTCTACAAAGATTCCCCGCAGAAGTCTAAATCAGGCTTTACGATTGTATAGTTCAATGGAGTTTGAATCAAGCAGCTGGGAAAAGCAACAAAGTGTGAACTCATTCTGGAGTTTTGTGTATGGAAATTCAAGCAGCGTGCAGAATGCGTTGCCATTAATTACAGCTGCAGTGGTGTGAAGCTTTGTTCAGGCGAATCAGATTTGTTTCTTAAATTAGATTTTTAGGACGGACTGTTTGTTTTTATTATTTGAAATGGAAGAGACGCTCGCGATACACAGAAGCATTACGTTGCTCGTGTTAACGATGATATCACAGAACAGCACTTCTGCAACGCAGTGCAAGGCAATCTGTGACACAACGAGATCTCTGTGTAACTGAAGATGGAAAAATTGACACATTAAAAAAAAAATTAAACTGAGAACAAGGATTATATTTTTACCACATTAGTGTTATCAGTGTCTGCCAGTATTAACATAATTATTATGATTATTGCTCCATTTTAATAATGTGAACTCTGTTTATTTGCTCTCCCCTGTTGTCTCATTTTTCCTATTGAGTTTTGTCTTCACTGTAAGTTTGTTAGCGTGTGCTTGTCCCTCTGTCGTTCACCACGAGGAGTCATGATGTCGCAACTCAAGTTAGTTTGTTTGGCTTTGTGTCACATGAATCTGTTGTTCACCAGTTACAAGCTGTGGCTGGTAACCCTGCAGCTCACTGGATCTCCAGAGCTAAAAAGCCGGTCTTACCGCAGCAACAACCTGGTCAGTAAGCCTCCAAATACATGGCGGATATTAGAATGCCTGGGCAGCCCACCCATTTAAAGAGGAAGGATTATATGAATTGCAATCAGTGTGCCTTTTCCATATTTGCAAGTGATCAGATCAAAATGTAAAGCCAGACGTCACAAACCTGTCTGCATAATTTGCCGTTCCAGTGTTGGCATCGGTGTCCATGTAGCTATGCTGGTGAAACAGCCTGATAAATTGTCTTGTTCCGGTTGGTTCCTCCAGCTTTGCCTCTTTAGAAGCCACTTCCAAAAGTGGCAGCAGATACATTTATTTCAGTTTCTGTCTGCAGACTGTTGTCCTCTATGTTGTCTTCCACAGGGCTCTGTTGGTAGCAATGTGGATTCTGCTAAATATGTCTGTCACTCTGGATCTGCCGCTGTGCTTTGCATAGTGAGGGACTTGAAAGGCACTTTGAAACCCAATTTGGGCAGGCAGAGCAGGTGGACTGAAACATGTCTGTAGAAATCCAATTGGAATTGCTTGTCAAACTAAGACCTAATTTATTCCTCAAATTTCCCCCACAAGCTGTGGAAAATGCAAATAAAAGAAGATTGCCATAAACTGTAAATCTCATAAACCCCCATTTTATTCACAAGACACCATAGAAAACATGTGAAATGTTTAAACTGAGAAAATTTACCATTTCATGTGTTGTTGTTTTTTTTTTTTTTTTTTTTTTTTAAAGGTATCTAGGTTTAAGTTGAATGGCTGCCACGTGTCTCAGAATAAGGTGCGACAGTGTCATGTTTATCACTGTGTAGCATCCACTTTTCCTTTAGCAAGTGTTGGGAGAGGGTTTTGTCCCATTTTACATTTTTCATTTTATTTATCAAAAATTTTGAGTTGGTGAAAGGACTGGATTAGGACTGCAGCTATTGGTTATTTTAGTAATCAAGTTTTCTATCAATTATTCCATCTGTTAGGCGTAATCAAAAAAATGTATGTCTTTGTCTTATTAATGAACAATAACAAATATCCACAAGGGAAACAAACAGGTCTTTTAAAACGATTTCATTGGTTTCCATTGTAGAAATCGCAACGTTCTTAATAGTTTAACTGTGTACATCTGTCAAAAATAAACTGTTTCATTGTATCTTCATGTCATATTAAAATCATATTTCTTTTGAAATACCAAAATAAAGTATCACAAATACAGTAATGTAAATAAAATAAGATGGCTTGCACTCTGGCTTCTCCTGGATGAGGCAGATTTGGTGCATTCATGTGTTTGTGTATATTATATCAAATATTAATTAAAGCTGAAAAATAGTGTCACTAAGGAATGCACTAATGCAGCTCCATGTATAATGGCTAAAATGATAAACTGTAAATTACAGTGAAGTCATTAAAAAAAAAAGAGAGAGAGAGAGAGAGAAATTGTTTTTGTAGCATTGCAGAAAGGTATTTTTTAGGGTTGTTTTTTTTTTTTAATAAATAAATGGGGATGTCTCTATACCAGAAATGTAGTAGTTGATACCAATATGTTTGTTTCTTGAACACAATTTAATACAACACTAAAGAAAAATGGAGAAAAATGGGGAAAAAGTAATGTATGAATGATGATGATGATGATAACAACAATAACAACTGTAATAATGATGGTAGTATTATATTTTATTGACATGACACTAATATGAGGTTTAACTGTTAATGTCATTCCATTAGCTTAAGCATTTATATAACATTCGACATTGCTAGCATTTAACCTTTGGTCACAATAACAGTGTGTGCTGTTTGAAACAAAATGGTAAAGAGTATTTTGGGATGACACGAGAAGGATGACAATAACACTCTGTATGTTGTTAATATGAATTGAAAGCTTGGATTCTTTGAACAGATCTGGATGACCATGTTTTAGGCTCTTTTCCAAAATAGGAAGCGTTCCCAACGTGACTTTTACAAATCAGTTGTCACCCCTTTTTGAACCTTGTCAAGCACAAAGTACCAGCTTACCTGACTCTTATTGTATTTCTTATCAGTGACATGCCTATAAAGAAATCAGCTCACCATATTTAAGCATTTACACTTTTCATTTTAATCAAAGGTAACTAAATGTAAGTTTCCACCACCAGGGGCCAGGGTTTTCTTAGAAACCTTTAGTTTATAAAATGCAGCCTTTGTTACGATTTTTAGGTGGTGCAGTCCTTTTTTTAATTAATGAAAAGCTACAGCCTTTTTCTGATTGAAGTCGGTCTTATCGGAAAAATAAAAAAGAGAACAAACGGACAATGAAAGCAAACGTAGTTACTTAAAACAGATTTGCTGTTCAGCTGATAACTGTCCATTTATGTTCACTCATTTATTACTGCCTGCTAAATCATTTATCACTGTATGTGAGCACACTTCACTGTGACTCAGCTTTGTGGCTTTTACGCTGAGGTACTTTGTGCTGGGGTCCCCACAGCAGATGGATGTTTGATTTGACACCAGATGTATGTATCCAGGCTTCAGAACAGTTCTAGGAGTACACTAACTTGTGAGCCTCTGAGGCCGTGTTCGTGTCTCCTCTGATTCTTGAACCAGGGATGTTTCAATCGATGTAGAGCCGGTGCCAGGTGCTGACACTGGTGCTAGCATTTATACCCATGTGTGGTGTGTCTTGGTTGCTCTGCAGCTTTCCCTCCAAAACATTAGTCGTGAGTTGATAATTTGCTTCTAGTTAATCATAAAAATTGTAAAGTAGCTAGAAATGCAAGAGAGAAGTCAGCTGCACCAATTGCAGGCATTGCGCGCTACATTGATGTAGCATGCAGTTACATTTCTATGGAGGTGCATATTAGGCTACACCTAAGTTGTGGTATATGGTTTCAGGAGGGTTTGCAGTTACAACAACCCTACAGCACAGATTTAATATGGAAGTGTAGTCCTGCTGTAAGCCGCATGTATTAACCACTTTACTTGATGCTGAAAGTGGGATCTTTCTTTTTGTTTGCAAAGATGTATCAAGCAGCTACCTACAACTACGCACATATTCTGTATTTGTACCACACCATTAGCTTAACAGCAAGTGCATAGCCTTACATTAATAAAGCGTAACTTGACAGCATCACCTTTTATTGTTTTACTCTCCAAGCGCTGTCTCCAGCAGTGGGAGTCTGCTACAACTTTTTTGTTTAGTTTTTTTTTCTTTCCCCTCTGGGAGTTTGTACTTGTCATGATATGGGTTGCCTTCCAGGTGCAGACATTGTTTGGTGTCCCACTGACATTTTACCTGTTTCTCGTGTTTCACGTTGGCCTGCGTATGCACTGAAAGCCACACTGGCTCACTACACCATCTTATGATAGAAGTTACTATTGCAATTCACGTCTGTTTCTGAATCCAGCTAATATCTATATAATACAACACATAGATGCACCATCCATCCAATTCCTTCCACTTATCAAATTCAAAGTTGCACAGGGGGAGGAGCCCATCCCAGCTGTTACAGAATGAGCGCAGCCTGGACAGGCCACAGACGGACTGAGAAGGATGACAATTCATGCTCACATTAAGTCTAAGGCCAAATTCAAATCACCAACAATATGCATGTGCAGAAACTGTGGGGCTACCCGCACTAGCATAGAGCGAACAGGGAGACTCCATAGATCCCAGCGTGCTGGTGGATTTAAACCCAGGATCTTGTTGCTCTGATGCGACACTGCTGACCACCACACAACTGTGCCATCCAGTCATTGGCATGTAGGCACGTGGCTCTCCAAGGCCCTACCTTCACTTAGAGGGTTGCCTCCGCTTTCCTCCCAGATCTACACTGGAACCTACTGGACTCACTGGTTTCCCTTTCTGTAACCAGTCCTCTTTTTAGATGCACGAAAATGTAAAATGCTAATAATGCTTTAAATCGACAGAGATGTTTTAGACATTAGGTCATAACAGTTGTTTCTTCATTCTGCTGATAGCTCTAGTGAATAATTTAGTATTAGATACTTTGTTTAAAGCCAGTTTCGATTTAAATACAACTTAGCTTTTCTAGCAGAGAACACTGATGTTAAAAAGTCCTTCCATGTATATCATGATCAAATGTCCATTTCTGTGCCAGCCACAAAACTCCAATACAAGAGCAGCCATTATTGAGCTGCTTCTGACATGGCGATCGTGGCTCAAGAGTTGTGTGTTCGTCTTGTAATCGGAAGGTTGCCGGTTCGAGCCC